GATGCATGCGCGAAGGCTAACCAGCAAAAGGTACTCGGTATACAGTGGAATGCGACTGAGGATAGCCTACATATCACTTGTAACCTAGAGGTCACAACCAAGGTTTCGAAGCGAATCTAGCTCGACAGATCGCTTCGATCTTCGACCCGCTTTGTTGGCTTGTTCCATTGCTGACGCGCGCCAAACACTTCCAGCAAACATTGTGGAAGCTCAACCTTGATTGGGACACACCTTTACCCAAGGACTCTGAAGAGTTATGGGGTAATACTGTCCAAGAGGTCATAGGGTTTGATCGGACCATACCCAGAAGATTCCTGCACACCACTAGCCCATGTAGCTTAGCCGTATTCGCAGATGCTAGCAAAATCGCGATGGCTGCATGCGCCTACACATTCGCGGGCGAACAGTCCACCCTGGTTATGGCAAGATGTAAGTTACCATCCATCAAGACGGTCACGACAATGCCGAAATTAGAGATGAACGCTCTCACCATGGCAACTCGACTTGCCTGGTCAGTATATGAAGCCATGAAACAACAGGGGAACGATGTTCCACAACCGGTACATGAAATCTTCATATTTTCGGATTCTCAGATTGCCTTGAGTTGGCTAGCACAACCACCATCAAAGTCTAATCCCGGCGTTCTCGTGTCAAACAGACTCGCAGAGATCCGTCGCATCTGTGACGCATTCAAACGAAAATCGGTCATGGTGCGCTTTGCCTACGTGAACACAAAGAATAACCCGGCTTACGCAGGAACACGAGGGCTAACGAGTGATCAGCTACGAGATCACCCATGCTGGTCAGGTCCAAAATTTTTACACGATCCAATAGCCGAATGGCCCACTGCCTTCTATGAAATGGACCAAAATAGCTCAAATGAAACGGACCAGAGTATAAATATAAATATGGCGATGTTACCACCGGAAACCGGGAAAGATTCCTGGGTAGACTTACAGCGTTTCAGCTCACTCACAAGAGCTAAACGAGTCACAGCAAGAGCACTAATTTTCATAAAAAAGCTCTTACGCCCACTAACAGAGGAATCCCGGAATAGGATTCACGGAACTATCCCTGAATTAAGTCTCGTGTCCGACAGCCCATGTAATCTACAGGCCGAGGATATACATGCGGCAGGTATATCGTTGATACGTCACCACCAGCAGACATACGTAGGAAAAGATTATCGGAAATCCATGGAAAACTCATTACAGCTCTTCATGGACTCCAACGGGCTTTGGCGTTCAAAAGGACGCCTTGGAAACTCGGACCTCGATGAATCGGCTAAATATCCCATTGTGGTGGCTCCCAATACAGACCTGGCACGATTGGTTACCGAGGAAGCTCACGGACTCTATCATCAGGAAATTGAACACACAATTTCTACGGTTCGACAGAAGTACTGGATACCGAAAATACGTCAGTCAGTTCGGAAAATGATTCACAAATGTGTCAAATGCAGGAGATTTAATACCTCCCCGTATCCATAGCCAGACGCGACCGATTTGCCCCAAAGACGAGTGTTTCGGAGCCGTCCATTCCAACACGTGGGTCTCGACTTCTTCGATCTTCCCAGTGACACGCCCTCAAGGTGGTACGGTTGCATCTTCACATGCACCGTCACGCGTCTCATACACTTGGAAATGGTGCAGAGCATGAGCACAATAGATTTCATCGATGCCCTACGACGCTTTGTAGCAAGAAGAGGTGTTCCAGAATCAATCACATGTGATAATGCACCTACTTTTCTACTCACTTCCACGCTCTTGTCAAACGGTGTGCGCACAGACGAAATTAGTGCTGACATACAGGATACACTTGCCAACAAAGAAATCCAGTGACGGCATATCACACCGTACGCACCCTGGCAGGGTGGGTTTTATGAGCGTCTCATCAAGTCTATAAAGCACGCACTACATAAGGCGTTACTAGGTGCGGAGCGAGGCTCTGCGGAACACCTATGTACCATTCTGACGGAAGTGGAAGCGTGCCTCAATTCGAGGCCATTGACCTACCAGAGCGCGGCTCAAGAAGACCTTACATCAGTTAGACCTGTGGACTTCCTGCAGAAGGATCTTAGTCTAACTTTACCACTTGAGAACATCGACCGAAATTCTGATCCTGACGAAGAATATTTGCCACCGCAACAACTTCGAGCCCTCAAAACAAGGACAGAAGTTCTCGATGCACTTAAATCATCTTGCGAAGCCACAGAGAAGTATTGGAAAGTCTGGCGAGAACTATACCTTTCAAGTCTGAGGGAGAAACACAGAAAAACCCTAACAAACCAGCGACACGCGAATGTGCTCCCGACCATGGGCGATGTAGTGTTGGTTTGTGACCCCGTACTCCCCAGGAATGAGTGGCGAATGGCTCGCATCACACAGACGAAAGTAGGTTCTGACGGCGCGGTACGAGAAGTAGAACTTATAACCTCTACACGTCGCAAAATCCGTCGTCCAGTAAACCTACTGGTACCACTTGAAGTAACGTCTGAAGAGGATAATTCCAAGGGTGCTGAGCCCAGAGCAAGTGCTCAAACATCACATCAGGAGCATAGAGAGTCACCAGCAGATCCTATAGAACCAAGATATAACTTGCGTCCCGGCGTACCATCAACACTGTCGCAATTAAGAAGAAGACAGGGCTGACTCCCAAACCGAAAACGTACTCGTCAAAATGGTTCCTTTTTTACATCATGTTGCTCAGTGTGATGTTACCTGCACGATCAATGGCACATGCCGATATGCAGATGACATGCACACCGTCGGGAGTGCTCATTCACACTACGAAGAACCAGACAGTAGAAGTGTGCACAGACACCTTACGCAACGCGCACTAGCACGTTGCGTTCAAAGAAATCATACGAGATCTCGGAGAGAACGTCTGATTGCAGCTTTAGCCATACTGATGACAGTAGTGGTAAGTCACGGACACACATGCCAGCATGTGAATGTTCTTGAACATCACCTAACGACGTGTTCGAACAATGGCACTCACGAGACATGCAGGGTAACGCTCAGTGAGCTCTTGAGATCAACACCTATCATCGTGAAGCTTGCCTACGACTTACCAAAAATGCTACGCTGGTAGCAAACATAAAGCTACACTGGAAAGGTCTCTACTTGCGGTGTGAAAGATCCACCAAATATTTCAGCAGCGCGACAAAGCTCAAGCAAATAAGCAGCAAGAGATGTCCTTTAATGGGTTTGTGTGACGACACTAAATGTGAGAAGATAAACGCGTCCACTCTGAAAGAGGACCTGAAGGAAGGAAACACCTTTCCTGGTCGTACTGGATGCATGGAGTCATGCGGAGGTCTAGGATGCGGTTGCATCCTCCCCAGTGCAGGTTGCCTATTCTATAGGATCTATGCAGTACCACGAAACGAGAAAACATAGGAAATATTCGAATGCTCAAAATGGGCCGAGGAAATAAAGCTCAATGTGACCATTGAGAACGTAGGACTTTCGGAAGGAATACGTAGCTATGTAATAGCTCTAATTCCGAATGTTCCGACAACGCTGCCCATATTGACTGTTACTATGACCGACATTTCCATACCTCCAATGCCGTCACTTGCGAATGAGTTCATCACAGACGGCAAAGACGTCGCCTTGTGGAAAAACCACATCAAACCGAATCTTCTCTGCTCAACGGCGGAGCAAGCTCGAAAGCTGAACTGTTCCTTTTATGACGACTGCACATGTAATGCTGCTGAAAACAGCGCGAAGTGCGTATGTTCGGATCACGATGTGGAAGAAGAGTTTCAGAAGATCCGTAACAAACTCCCAATTCGAAAAGCAGCATGGGATATGTCGAAACGTTTCGACAACTCAGTAACAGCAAGAATCACTGGCATGGTGTCAGCAGACTTCATGGTGGATTCAACCAAACCATCGAAGCCTCCACCCAGGTTGTGACTACAGGGATATGCGAAGTGTCGAACAGTGAGCTGGAAGGTTGCTACCACTGCTCAAAAGGAGCACAAGCAAAGATCTTGTGCCACTCAACTGTAGACACCCACGGAGAAATCCTATGCGACCAGCGGGCATTCGTGGTGCCTTGTGGTCCTACACCGAAAAAATCCATGCTCATGTTCCACCTTGATTCAGCTCAACAGTTCTTCAACTGTTCAGTTAGATGCGGTGAAGTAACGAGATACTTCACTCTTACAGGAATCCTGAAGTACACCAACGATTTCAATGTGGTCCTGAAAGCATATTGGAAGGGAACAAGACCAACTATTACGAATTCAAGTTACCTGACTTCGCACACATTGCCGACGTTATGCTGAGTTGGTACAAGACATTGCTATGTAGCCTCCTGGTAGTGCTACTAGCACCGATTACCTCCTACCTAATTGTCCAGAGCGTCGGGATACGACTAGCTGGCTTTCTTCTACATAGCGCGTTCAAGCTCATATGTCTTCCCTTCCGATTTGCGATATTCCTGGGCAGCGCGATACGCAACTCTCGTATGCGACAAAGGCTTCACGAAAAACATCTTCGAGGGTTACATTACATTTATAGTCAATTGTAGGGATAGAAAAATTCACAACATACATATATACATTTTTTCTGTCATTATTTTTTTTTCACACTTTCACTGTGCCCTCACCTGCAGCTTGATACGCACGTAACGATGTCCACACTGACGCCAACGTCCAGATCGCAGCTGCTCCTCAAGCTACGTATCCAGAAATTCAGAAATCAAGAACTACGGAGACAAAACCAGCAATTGGTGGATGCGATCGGACAGCTTCCAACACCGAGAACACTTTTTGACCACCTCATAGAAACGAGCAGAAGCATACATGACAGTTGTACGGCGGTCCTCCAACTCGACACAACATCGACGTTCTGAAGTCGTCTGACGACCATCCACACATCGTATACTTACGATTGGAAACGTTGGAAGAGCAAATCGAGAAAATCGCTCTCCAGTTCAAGTTGGCAAGGACACAACTGACCGTCCTCCACCAGCAATATGCGGGCCTCATGGCCACAGGAAGATTGACACTCGAAATGTGGAACTCATTCCTGAATGAAGCACACCTGGACAGTGAAAAACTGCCGCTCGACCTTGACCCTGAGGAACAAGAACGACTGATAACGACCAATCTAGAGTTCCCAGGGAACTACAGCATCCAAATCGCTGGCATGAGACGGTGTATGGCAGACGCGAACCGCCTGCAATACTACGACGATTTGCTTAGGAAACAGGAAGCTGAAGCGGAAGAAGGACAGTCGTTGGAAGAAGAAGTTCTATCGAGACTAGAAGCCAACCACAACATCCTGAAGCCCGACAGACCACAACCACAGGAACGATCCACTACTTCACCAGCAGTACAACTCAGCGAAGGGCCGGAGGGTGCCAGTGCACTATTCCAAGAGAAAAATTCGGCGGAAAACACTCGCGAGGTCGAGAACACCAAGATTCAAAGTAACGCTGGATTCATGGAGCCTCTGGACTTTGACGAGGAACAACCCGAAGAGCAGCCTATGGACTTTGCTGGCGATCAACCAGTCGAAGAACAACTTGCCCTTCGGCAAGAGGAAGAAGCAGATGAAGGGCTGGTAGTCCTCGATGAAGTGGAAGGCGACAATGATGATCAGGAGATCATCGTGGTCGTGGAGAATCCTCCTCAACACCGTGGTGGAGAAGCTCGTCGACGGTGTTCATAGACATACAGAACCTCGACGCTCCCGTGACGGGGACGTGCGTCAAGAAAGACACGAGGAACACCGTGGCATCCAGAGAGACCGAAACGCTGACGAGCTGGCTCACGTAGATCGACAACTTCTGGAAACTCGTGACTCAAAGTACCAGGCGGAACAGAAGTGAACGAGCTACGACAGAGACGTTCGCGCGCAAGAAGAAGGTTCTTGCCTGCACGTCCTAACAAACAGACACAACCCTGTGCATTTTGTCTCGTCAGAGGTGACCATTATTCCGACGCATGTCAACGATTCCCAGGAGCAAGTACCAGAGAAAGGCTGGCTCGAAGTGACGACCGATGTACCATGTGTCTACTCCCATCAAACCAACATGTCGAGTGTAAACGAGAAGAGGAATCTTGCCGATATTGTGGCTCCAGAGACCATCACCCGGCCTTGTGTGCTGAACCGGAGCGTTCGGAGCAAATGACCAGGAGAATTGCGGAACTCTCCGAAAGAATCGAAGAGTACG